AATTAACATGATCTTTAGAGTTATTTAGTAAAGTGCTTCAAACTGTTAAATTTATCTTGACCTCTTGGTTGCACTCTCTGACTGCTTTTTAAATGAAGTAATCAATATCTTACAGCCCTTTAAATAGCTTAAACTTCTCAAATATTTTACCTATGTTCTAGTTAAGCTGTAAGTAAAGTGTTTACCCCTGTTCCTGTAAATCTAGAGTCAATTATGCTAAATCTAAAGACAATTATGTACTTTTGAGAAACCCTGTATGAATTAAAGAATTGTTTTTAATAAAACCAATAGCTCGTGTTTTGTTTTAAGTGGCCCAGTAGTGAAGAATCACATTGTTTTCACACAAAACAAGTCTTGTTTGCAACTTAAAAAAGGTGGTTGTTGTTGTTGTTGTTTTTAATGTCCTTTACCATTGCCTGTAGTTTCTGTTTTCCACACAGGGCTAGCAAGTATTAATTTTCTTGCTGTGATAGGGTGATCAACCGTCCTGTCAAGAAAATGGATCTCCATGTCACCCTTTAGCATGATTAAATGGAGGCGCATCTCTGTGAAAAAATACCAAATTTTTATGAGACAAATGGGACTGTAGAAAGGTCCACTTTTCCAGAATTCTTTTATTTTCAATATCTCAAAATCTCCCATTTGGGTGTCAGGTTTTGTTAGTTTTTTTAATAGGTAAGCACTGCAGCTAATTGCATATATTTTCTGTTATTTAAGAGAAAGTACAGGCAACGCCCATCATTTTCAATGTTTCCAAATCTGAAGAATTCAAGAATCAGATGTTGCTGTGTTAGCAGAGTATTAGGGATGGGGGTGTACCTTAAACATTCATTAGTCAGATTCTGTCTTTTAGGGGAGACATTTCTTGCTCTTCATCCCTTGTTAACAAAGAACTCTCATCTTTTCAGATCTCTGTTCTGATAAAAATTCCCTCCCATAGAATTTCAACATCAGTAGTGTTCAGAGCCAGTTGGATAGTGTTCTTAAGAGCCTATGCCCAGGCCAAACTTTAACTGATTCCAAGTGATGGACTGGACAGCTAATTAAGATTTCATATTTTGGCCACTTAGCCAAGGGCACCTGTTAAAATTCTTCCTTTAGCTTCAGGAAAAAATTTACAAGTAGCTGTTTTAAAAGTATATTATTAAAACTCCCCTAAAGTCTTAGCTCCTTCCCAAGGAGCTGGAGTTAAGACAAGATTGAGGTAATTAAACAAAAGGAACATGGAGAAGGTGGGGGACCGGGGGTTGGAGGTGGAACTCTCCCAATGCCCCTGTTGTTTCATTTCCTACTGGAGGCAGCCTATGTGTGCCTCGAGCCCCTCCCCCTTCAGCAGTGGCCGTTGCAGAGGCTGAACGGCTGGGGTCAGTGCCTTGTCTATTGATCAGTATCCCTGCAGTCCCTTGCTCCAGCAGCTGCTTCATTGGCTTCTTTCAGGGCCTGCTTCAGTACATTAGAATAGAAATCCATAACCAGAGCTGTGCTCATCCAAGCAGGGGAAGAAACTAAATTAAATGGTATAAAACAATCTTGGATCAGGAGTTTGTGCCAATTCATCTTGATCTAAGATGTCACACCGGGCTCTCTGTCTGAGCACCTGGGGTAGAGGCAGCCATAGTGAAAATAGATGGAGCTGCGATCATTCATTTGTCAGCTAAGGAGCAAGGCAGTGGTTAGCAATTCCCTTCTGCAGAGGTCAGCTGACAGAACAATCAGTGCAACTGCAGAAGAGAGCTTTCCTTTGAACTATTGTTATGGAGCAGGCTCTCGCTGAGACTTGGGGGGGAGGGGAGCTTGGTTTGCTTCCTGTTTCAAGAATACTATGTAAAGAGTAAAATAGATGCTACATGAATCTAGATGTTGTCACACAGCTATTACTTCCCTGTGTCTGCTCTTGTACATAAATAAAGTTGGTTTTAAATGCATGTACTGAGATATAGATTATCAAACTGTTAAATATCACTTTGTTTAGAATTCGGGTCCATTTTCATCCCTCTAAACACAGAGGCAATGATTATTGATTTTTTTTTCTTCTTCTTAGTATGGTTAAGCTTTTAGGATGTTTTTCCTACTTTAGTTACTATAACCGTAACAGATCAGTGTCATCCTTTGAATCTGTAATAACTTGTAAATGCTACTACTTTTACTAACATTTCCTCTTTAAAAATTAGAAGAAAATACATGAAGAGAGAAATGAATGCTGAGGTGTCAGGTTAGAAGATATTACTTACTATTACTTAAATACTTTTAAACATTTTAATGGAGGCTTTTATAAGAAATGTTAATTCACAAACTATGACTTGTCATGATACTGGAAGATATAAAGTAATTTTATAATATCAGAGGAACAAAAATGCAAAGTGCCCTGCATAATAATACTATACAAAAGAATACAATACAAAATTAAACAAATTGGGAAAATGAGTAATAACCACAATTTTATGAGAATTAGATTATTTTAAAAGATGAATCTATTCTCTGTAGACTTTTTTTAAAATTTGTCTTTCTATGCACTGCTTAAAAACTAGTAGAAAATAAACAGAACCTTTATTTAAAAGTTCTGTTTAAAAAAGTAAGAAACTAACAACACAGCAATAGCACCATTATCCTTTTTGTATTAAATTACCCCAAACTGTTCTTGGAATCCAAATAAATAGTAACTATTGATATTCTTGTCATATTACCATCTTAAGTTTTTCTAGATGTTAGGGTGCCAGCAAAAACTTGCCCCCCTCCAACCTGGATTCTTCCGAGGCTGGACTGAAAAATTGATATCAGATTAGTAGGAGAAAAGACCAAAATTTAATAGCATAGGGATGGAGATTGTATATGGGCATAAATTATAAAATAAAATGGGGGTAGGTCAGGGCTGTATAGCCTGAGCTAAGAGACCTGGGGACCAAGGAGAGGGGCTGGAGCTTCACATGACTTGGGAGAGGTGTCTTCATCCTGTTACTCAGAATTAGAGATGAGATTCTCAGGGAGGACATGTTCACGGATAACCGACACCTGAATAAGACACCTCCTTCCACACCCACACCCCAACTACCTTCTTCTCGTCATAAAAAGAGGCAACAGTGATTGCTCCTTTGTTTAGGAATAGGACAAATGACTGAAACAAGGACAAACCTCTCAGCCTCTAGGGCTTTCTCTGCTCTTAAAATAATCTATATTTTTAAAGTAATGATAATAGACTTCCTGAGGCTCACAGAGAATTCATTGACCTTTAGTTCTCATATCAAAGTGACATTTATGGAAGTGGCTTATTCTGGGCATATTGAGGAAAATATTAGACCCTTTTGGGGACAGCAATGCCACAATAACCAACCTCCCATTTTTCCTTAAGTAGTATAATGCCACTTTTTTTCCTCAGGTGTTCCTTTCCACTGCTCACATTCTTTGTTCTAGCCTGTCATTTCCATTTCTTAGACTCAACTAGGTCTTCTTATCCATACCCTAATCTGCTTTTCAGCACAGCCAAAATCAATGGATTTTAAAGTGTTGGATGACTAACTGATGGAATGAAAGACCTTCCACCTCAGTGGTACTTAATATTTTCCACCACGGTCATTGCATAAGTTTTTTTTGTTGTTTTTGTTGTTGCTGTTCTACTTGATACAAGTTGTCTTTTACTCCACAATTCACTGTCTTACTGCCACTATCATGATCTTTCTAATCGTGAATGAATCTACTGTTGCCACCTTATACATTGTTATTCAATGGCTTTCCATTAACTGTAGCTAAAAGTCTTCAACTTGCCATAGAAGATCTTTCATGGTTTGGTACCCCGTTAGCCTCTTCCTTTGCGATTCCTTTCCACTACTAGTGTACAATGACAAAGCAAAAAAACAGAAAGAAAAACAAAATGAAGACACAAAATAAAGCATTAGTGTATGCAGAAGTCCCTGCTGCTAATTTCTTGGTTGGCATGCTGAGCTCTGAGGGCCCTTTGTTCTATTGATTTAATTAATGTATAGAGCAAAGTACTGAAAGAGGCCAGAAAAGCTGGATGGATTAATATTAGAAAGAACAAAAAGCTGACCTTCAATCAAGATGGCCCCAGAAGTTCACTTTTCAAATCCCTCTGTATCTAACGTGTAGCTATGATGGATAAAATAAACAAATAGAAAACCAAAGAGACATAACTAGGCTCAGGAAGATAGATATCTCTGTGGACAAGTAATGGAATAGAAAGGCAGTGAGCTGGACTGAAACCATTTCCAGGAGTAGGCATTTGGATCCTATGAGCAAAAAGGACTACGAATATAACATGAATAAATCTTAAAGCCAAGAGCTAGACTGATTTCCTTGGTTCCAGGAAGGACATGGAAAGGATATAACTACATTGCTTGTCAGTTAAAATTGAGGTGATGTTGCTAAAGAAGAAGAGGAAATTGGATATTAACTTTGTCACTGGCAGCACTGACCATAATAGCAAATCATGAAAATAAGTGAGTTGTGTTCAACCTAAAAATAGAGAAAAACATAGAGAAAATAGAAAGTCTGAAGAAAGTGGAAGGATAAATAATAAAAATAATAACAGAATTTAGTGAAATAGAAAGCAATGACATAGTAATGTCAGAAGTATTTTTTTAAACATCTGATTAATTATATATTTCTAGCAAAACTCATCAATGATCATGAAAAATAATATTAGCAAAGGCACAAATAAACAATATGTAGAAGGATCCATAGCCCAATTAATACAACTGAAATTTTTTAATCCTAGAAAATACGAATTTAAAATTTTAGATAACATAGACATTTTAAAACTATCAGCTATCAGAAATGACCCAAAAAGAAGTAGTTAGTAAAAGTAAATAACTGTTAAAATGAATTCATAATAAATATTCCCTCCTCCACCCTGTCATCTCCTGCCCCCTGACCACAGTGTCAGTGTCCTGAGATGTAATGGCCTTGGCAATTTTAGAGGAACATTTTCATGTCTTCTTTGTATTAATATTTGTTTTAATTTAGATTCTAATGTTTTGTTTTTTCAGGTTGCTTATCAAGTGTCCCACAGATGAAAAAAATTTCCACATCTTATGAAGAAAGACGGAAACAAGCTACTGCTATTGTTTTGCTAGGAGTAATAGGAGCCGAATTTGGTGCTGAAATTGAACCTCCAAAACTGTTGACCAGACCTCGAAGCTCAAGTCAGATTCCTGAGGGATTTGGTTTGACTAGTGGTGGATCCAACTACTCACTGGCCAGACATACTTGTAAGTTTGTGGGGTTTTTTTAATGTGTGTTTTTTTTTTTTTTTGGTAAATCTTTTTTTTTTAATTTTAATATTTTTCTTAAATTGTTTTCCTGCCACCATATCACACATGAACCATCATCATTATTACCTTCTGTTCATTTTATTTTATTTTAATATTTTTCTTAAATTGTTTTCCTGCCACCATATCACATGTGAACCATCATCATTATTACCTTCTGTTCATCCCTCCCCTGTTTTGCTCCCATACTTGTTTTACAATACCTAATACTCTCTATTGCTTCTCAATGAGTATTACTTGTTAACAAAAATCTCAAAAGACTGAATCTATCCTGAGTTTTAGCTCAAATAGAAGGCTTACATGAAGTTTAATTTCAAGTTAAAATTTCCAATTTATAAAAGAATTTCTAAAAAACTATGTCACCTTTCCTCAATGTGGTTTGAAAAGGCAAGGGTTAGTGGGGTGGGGGAGGGGTGGGTTGCCATTTTCTCTAATACGTGTATTAATATTGTATTATTTGTACAATATGTACAAACATAGTATAATTAATATAATGAATATATATTTAAAGAACACACCTAAAGAATTATAAATTATCTCCGTAATTTAAAAAATCTTTCAATAACAGTTTTTAAATGACTGAAAAGTGACAATCACAGCTCAGAGGACTTGTGTCAAGCTCTGTCTTCCGCTTTCTAGTTGGTGTGATAATAACAGGTGAGGGTATTTTATAACGATGGCCTTGGTCCTCGGTGTCAGAATTCCTTTTGGTAAGTTCAAAATGTTCTTGCCATGTCGAGGAATTGTTTCTAGCAAATGTGTCATCTTGAAGATCAACTATAATCTTGCAGAATACATCACAAGGTACTCTCTGTAGAACAAATTGCAATGCGTTCTTTTGGGGTTTTGGCCTTTAAGCAAGGGGAAAAGATAGATGTGACTTTGTTATGACAGCAGAGAACTTTACTAGATCATTGTCATTTACTTTTCCTGTCACAGTAAGGAGCCCTCGCAGTAACTTTTATTATTAAAACTTTCTTTAACACTTAGCTCTCCCCCATTTTTCTTTTGTTCTTAATCCAACAAATATTCAGTAGTGATTAGTAAAAAGCCAATGCTTGGGGCCTCCCCGGTGGCGCAGCGGTTGAGCGCTGGGTTGCGAAGCTGCCTGCGGCCTCTGCGGCGCCGGTTCGATCCCCGGCTGCTCCCCGGCCACCGGAGGAGGATCCCACATGGTGCGCAGACCTCTCCTGCCACCCGCTGCTCCCCTCAGCAGTGTACTTCAGTCCTTCTGCCTGCTCTGCTCCCCACTCTGGCTCTGGTGAATTCTCTCACCCTCCCGCGCTTCTGTCTGTACCCAGTGCATGTATAAACAAAACAAACAAACAAATAAAATAAATAAATAAAAAAAACATGCCTCTATATAAAAAAAAAAAAAAAAAAAAAAAAAGCCAATGCTTGGATGTCTACTGACATTGAGAATGAAGAGTATTTAGGAACACTACCCACCACCACCACCAATAATAAAGTAACTAATTCTTAATTCTTTGAATGCAACTGTAAACTCTTTCTGTGCATCTGATCATTAATCTTCACAATACTCCTTAAAGTAGATATCCTTCTGTTTTACATGCAAAGCTAGCAGAACAGAAAAATTTAGTTGACCTACAGAGGTCATACCTCTAAGAAATCAGGTAGATGTCTCAGCACAGTCTGTGGTTCCAGAGTTTATGATTTTTGTAAAGATTTATTTTAATTATTTATGCATACAAGAACTGGGGTGTAGGTCAGAGGTGTGGAGGGGGTGAAAGGATTCACCAGAGTCAGTGTTAGAAGCAGTAGGCGAGACAGGAGAGCTCTCCTGCGCCATGTGGGTAACTTAGCTCCCTGGCCAGGGATCGAACACATGTCGCAGTGGCTGCTGATATCTTTATAATCCTGAGACTTAACCCCCAGAGCCTCCAGGGAGACCCCCAGAGCTTATGATTTTCAGCATAAGCAAACCCTACTGCTCCAAGATTCCTAGTTGAAAAGTTCTTGAAGACTAACCTATGCTGTTACTTTTCTTTCCTATTCTTTGTTCTTCAAAATGCAAATGAAGACTTCTTCAAAGTGGCTCACCCAAAAAATGTAGTAAAACCTGAACTTGAACTCAAGCTGCTTATTACCTGAAAACCACTTCCACCTGGGACTTCCACTTTCCTTCTCCTGCCTTTTTATCTGTTGTCTGGCTCTTCAGGGTCCCTGCTTTCCTTTCAGAGAGCCCTCCTCGAGTCTCAACCTCTCCATAAATAGCTCTTTAATTAGACACACCTTTCTGGATTACTCCAGATGCCTAGGACTTACATTTTATAGTTCTTTATTTGGAATCTTGACATTAGAGTATCTGAGGTTATTGACACCATGTGAGGATTTATTTACTTTGGTGTGTTTCAAGCTTTTTTGCTCATTGTCTCTCTAATGAGTATCAAGAAATAATTAATACCTTGCACATTTTTTGTTAACAGCTTAAACATTTTAATAGTAAGTTTAAACATATGCAAAAGAGGATATTGTGAATATTGATTTAAAAATAATTGTGAACATTTCAAAATAAAAGCATTGTTCTTTTTAATCAAAAGAATATTACCCATGTATTTAGATAACCATGGACCATCATCCCAATATACTTGTCAAACTTTAAAAGTAGAAATTTAGATCCTTGATTATTTTTCTTATTTTTTTTTAAAGATTTATTTATTTATTCATCCAAGCACTGGGGTACAGCTAGAAGAGAGGGAGGGTGAGAGAATTCACCAGAGCCAGAGCAGGGAACAGAACAGACAAACTGATGAAGTACACTGCTGAGGGGAGCAGCGGGTGGCAGGAGAGGTCTGCGCACCATGTGGGACCCTCCTCTGGTGGCTGGGGAGCAGCCAGGGATCAAACCGGAGCTGCAGAGGCTGTGGGCAGCTTGGCAACCCAGCGCTCAACCGCTGTGCCACCAGGGAGGCCCATTGATTATTTTTCGTAAAGAAAGAAAAGTACTAGGGCTTCCCTGGTGGCGCAGCGGGTTGAGCGCTGCGCTGTGAAGCTGTCCGCAGCCTCTGCAGTGCTAGTTCGATTCCCGGCCTGCCAGGGAGATTCCCACATGAAGCGGCAGACCTCTCCTGTCACTCCCGCTGCTCCCCTCAGCAGTGTATTTTGGTTGTCTGCCTGTTCTGCTCTCCGCTTTGTCTCTGGTGAATTCTCTCACCCTCCTGTACCTCTGGCCTGTACCTTGTATAAATAAATAAATCTTTAAAAAAAAAAAAAAGAAGAAAGAAAAGTTCTACTCTCCATTGTTTTAGGGAAGGTGTTCATTTGTATATTTAGCATCCAGAAATCAAAATTTTAAAACTGTGTCTTAAAACTCTTCCTTGAAAAGTCTTAGGATGCTCCATTTGAAGGGATTTTGAAGACTACCACTTTGTATAATTTTCAAGAGAAATTCCTGCAAGAAAAGTGAACATGAATGCTATTTCTCTACTGTTTTCCCATAGGTCAGTATTAGCATCTATAAATAAATTTGGGAACATTGTAAACTAATGAATTGGTGACCAAATGCTCCAAAGCCTCTGAATTGGTTGCTAGACAGAATTGTTGACACCACCATATCTTAGCTAGCAAGACTAGGACTGTTATCATCTCTTTTCTCACCAAAATTTATCTTTCTATAAAATTGTAATAATCATGAATTTGATTCTGTATTTTTTTTAACTATAATACATTCTCAAATTGATACTGATGTAACTAAAAAAAAGAGGAAACGGGTTAGGAGCAAAGAGCTTTGGTAGACTAGAAATGAAAAGTTTCAAAGAAACATTGAGAATTAATAAACAAATGAAAGGATCTAAATACTGCTCTTTTGGTCATTGAAAAGAAAGGGAGCTGGACTACATGCAAGGGGATCCCCAAACCTATTTCTGACATTAGGGGGAAAAACCTCTGGGTTGAGCTGTGATGGGGATGGAATTTTATACAGTCCTTCCCAAGCAATATAAAGAAAATTTACCCAAACATTTAAAATATTTAGGTGTTCTAGGACCAAGTTTGTTCTTTGAGCATTTTGGATAAAGGGCTAGATGTGGGAAGAACAGAAAGTAATCCCTCTTAGCAATTTATATGTATGATTATTTTATTGAAACAAGACTCTGAAAAGTTTCTAGCAAGCAAGAGATAATATATAAAAATGATATAGTACCCAGTAGAGCCAGTTTAAAATGTGTAAAATAAATAAAATGTGAAAATATCCTTGGTATTTTCCTCATTTATCATGATTGCTCTATTTTAGTTTCATAATTATAAGATATTTTAGAGGTAGTTGGAGGGCGGGGTTAACCTCCATTCCATTGTCCTCTAATGTCTTAGATTCCTTATTGGTAGATTTGTCTACAAGAGGGATTCTCAAGACCTATCTTACTTGATTGTGATGCCTTGATTACATTTCTCTATCAGTTTAAACCTTGCTCTCTTGATTGGAAACAGATATCTACATGTTTCTATATCTTACTTGGGCTCATTTCAATTAATTACGTATAACATTAACCTGTTATATTAACCTATGAGAAGTTGTTTTATATGTGACCAAGTTATTTGTTTGTGTGGCATTTAGATTGTGTTGTTACCATTAAATATTCAGTCTTTCTGGCCTCCTATTGAATGAGATAATAATTATTGTCCTCATTTTGAGATAAGGCCATTAAGATACAATATTTGATGAACTTTAATTGCTAATGTAGTCAGAGGTATAGATAGTGAGTTCTAGCCTTTCTTGTAAGCCACTCTGTGAAAAATCATCATGTAGTCAGATCTCAATTATCCATGTTGACAGGAGGGAAGAGCGACACTGACACATAATTTAAAAATTATACTTGGTTTATAATACATTGTATATTTATGTTTAAATATACATGACTCTGTAGGGGGATTTATATTTTACATGAAATGTCTAAATCATGCTATGAAGACAAAGCTGGACT